TATCTATCTATCTATCTATCTATCTATATATATATATATATATATATATATATATATATAATGCCCTCCAATGCATCTTCTAACTTAAAATTTTAATTTAAGATGTTCATGGGACACAGCTATCTACAAAAACCTAAGCATTAAAAGCAATGTTTCAGAAAGTCTGGTCTGCAAGACTTAAATTGGAATAGTATTTCAATAGCAGATTTAAAACTATTCTTGTTTTTATAATCTTGCTACCAGTTAATCAAATTGTTCCTTACTTCAATTATGGTTTAAACTACCGTAGGTTGCTTGAACCAGACTGTCAGTCTTGAAGTAAGCATTGTTCTATCATTATCTGCCTGAAAAAAGATTCAAGAGAAAGAAAAAAACTTCCTGTGATTTTGTCACAACTTTTAGCAGCAAAAATACTGCTGTAGAAACTAATTAAGGAAGAAAATATTGAGGTACATTGATTCTCAATGTCTTTTACCAAGGATATATATTTTTTTATGTGCTTATGGACTTCCTATTTAGTGCATTGGCCAAAGAAAAGCCTAAATTTAGTATTTCTTCTTCCATCCAATAATATGCAGCAATTCTAAATCTAATCTCTGTAATTGCTTCATGGTTCAAATAAGTCTCTTCGTGATGTCTTTTTTAAAAAGTATGAAGGCTCAAATATAGCTGCATCTTCAGCTGTAATGTTTGCCCACCAGTTCAATTTCAGGCCTTACTAAAGTGAGTCGTAAAGAGTGAAACTTATCCCTAGAGGGCTTATCATGGCCAGCATTATATGATCCATCTCCTTTCTCATGCATGAAGAGGGTGTAGGGAACACTGTTGGGTCCAGGATGTGACAGTTGTTTTAGGAAGATATTATTAAAAATATTAAAACATATATTGTTGTTTAAATGTGATCCATCAAGATTGGTTTGCATTGAAGGCAGAGGTGATGCAACATTTCTTTTTCTAAAATGTCCATGTTCACTAAGACGGCATAAGAGCCGCAGTGGCGCAGTGGGTAGAGTGCAGTACTGCAAGCTACTTCTGCTGATCACCGGCTGCCAACAGTTTGGCAGATCGAATATCACAGGGTCAAGGTTGAGTCAGCCTTCCATCCTTCTAAGGTCGGTAAAATGAGGACTCAGATGGTTGGGGGCAACATGCTGACTCTTAGAGAGGGCTGTAAAGCACTGTCAAGTGGTATAAAAGTCTAAGTGGTATTGCTATTGTTATTTCATGAACCTACCCTATGTAAAAATGAAAATTGTGTAAAGAGTTAATTTTTATTAATATTTTGTTTCAATAAGGTGCTTAAATTCTTGGAGAAGAAAAGAAGAAAGGAATCTTCTCTCTGGAAGCAGCCTGAATCTCTTTCGGATGAACAGAGGATATTGTTGCAGCAAAAGGTGGAAAGCTATACCAAACTGCACCCAGTAAGTCATCATTACACTCCTATCCCCTGGATGGTCTCATATTTGCTTTTTACTTCAAAAGGCAAGTGGGCTGTTTTTTTCTTGAGGTAGAAGAAGAAAATGTTTTGCTTCTCACCCAAGAAGCTTTGGGCCTTTGAAGCATTCCATAGTCATATGACTACATTTTACAATGGTTTTGCTGAAAACAGGCATTTACTTCTGGTTTCTGCAACCCATAGTAAACTATTGGTTCACTTAAGGGTCATGGATTCAGTTAATGACCACTGTGATTCGCTTAATGACTTTTACAAAAAACTTTGTAAAATCAGGTTGGTCATGTGATTGACCCATTGAAAACTATCAAGAGTTACTATCATGATAGGCAGGTTCCATTACAGTCATAACTTGAGGACTACCTGTAGTAGCTTTACAGCATTGTCTTCAAATCTTGAAAAGTTATAATTTATGTACATATTTTCTTTAATTCTATTCCCTTTACCTAATAAAACATGTCAATGATGCGTAATTTTTATAGCTATGTAAACTGAAACTATGCTATGGATAACCTGCTTTGCTTTTATTTGATATGAAAAACATAAAATATTTGGTAGGGTTGTTTGGGTCTTTTCTTTAATCTAATAATAGCAAGTTGCTTCTTCCTGAATCTTAATTAAGAAACTAAATTAATTCAGTGATGGATCAATGGCTTCAGAGAGAAAACATAGAGAGAAGCTCAGTGATTAGATTTACCAGTTCCCAAGGAATGCAAATGTTGTGCTGCAGACCCTTACAAAGGTTTGAAGCTGATAACCGTTAATGGTAACAGAGAAGGTAATTTTTCTTCAGGCTTCTGCAATGTCAGAAGAAATGAGCAGAGAACTTCATCATCAAGCCCAGGAAAAACTAGCCCACTATATGCTGAGAAAAAGAAAAGATCAGAAAGCAAAAGAACATCGAGAAGCTTTGCTAGCCCAAGTTCATACAGATGTGGATCAATTGTTAAGTATGTGTCTATCTTATTTTGGTCTTGCATAGATTGTCTTCCCAGGTTAGCTCTGATGTGGTTAATATCACAACTGAATTTATCCAAGTAGGCACTACTACTTCACCCAGCTTGAATTTTCTTCTGAGATCATCACTGCGGTGTAAATTATTAATTCACATTCACACCCACCCACCAAGATTTATAGAAAGACGACAGCTCCGATCATGCTTTAAAGCCAAAGCACCAGCCTGAAGATGGCGAGTGAGACCTCGCCGAAACGTTGCCAAGACAATCTCAATCTTACACGGGAAAAGGCCTGAACAACAAAACCCCATATATATATATGTGATATATATGTATATGTGTGTGTGTGTATGTGTGTGTGTTATGTTTGTGCTGATAAATAAATAAAGGGAGACTAGTATAGATCTATTTCAAGCTATTTAGCTCTCATCAGCTAGCCATACCCTTACAGGGATTAGAACCTGTGCTGTATTAATCCCAGTAAGGGTATGGCTAGCTGATGAGAGCTAAATAGCTTGAAATAGATCTATACTAGTCTCCCTTTATTTATTTATCAGCACAAACATAACACATACACACACACACACACACATGTGTGTGTGCATGTGTGTGTGTGCATGTATATATGTATGTGTGTGTGTGTGTGTGTGTGTGTG